CCCTAGGTAACGCCACGGGCTGTTACCCGAATTTTTCCTTATTTTTAATCTAACCGTGAGATGCTCTACGATTAGACCTGACCTCTTGAACAGTCTAGGAAACGCTTCCTAAATTTAATTCAATTAGCCGCTTTACGATTTAGAAAAATAGGCTAGACTAAGTAGAGAAATTTTCATTCACTTACTTAGGCTGTGTTATCCCCGGTAGTTACCATCTTCCGTAGCCTCTAATTGATTAAACATATCAACAATTACGGATTAACAGTTTGAATCTAGCAGTAGATATGAAAAGCCTAGTCTAGGTGATCAAGCTAAACAAGACTCAACAAATCAGGGTTAATAATTCAAAATAACACAAACAATTCCAAAAGACATTGAAATTATCAACCAAGAATTAATCAAACATTGGTCAAGTCTTAGGGTTAAAGTTCCCCGGAACTAGAAATAAAAACTAGCCTAACATGCTAAATAAAAATAAAAAGATAAAAGAGAAAGATTAATTATCTCCCTCATGTGCAGATGCGGCCTCCCTCCGCTTTTGATCCGGCTCCCGTCTGTTCTCTTCTCCTTTCTCTTTTGCGGCTTCTCTGCTTTCTCCCTGCCTGGCGGCTTCTATGTTCTCTGTTGCGTGAAAATTTTGACCGCGCGTCGCAACGCGGCAAAATTAAAATTTATATTTTTCCTTGACTAACCTCTACTAACTGGTAGTAGTGGCGAGTAAGGGTCGATCCCACAGGGAGTGTGAATCAAATTATGAATTTTCTCGTATTAATTGAATTATAAAAGCAATAAAAGGAGGGGGGGTTGGATTTAATAACTAAAATAACTAAAATCCTAATGAAGCAAATAAAATATAAGCTAGAAAATAAAAATAAAATAAAATAAATAAAGAGAAATTTCTAGTTCACGGTTCCGTCTACGCCCTCGACTGTCTCGTCTAATCAAATTTGGTATCAAATCTCGCTATCTTATGAAAATACTAGCCCTAGGTAACGACACGGTCTGTTACCCGAATTTTTCCTTATTTTTAATTTAACCGCGAGACACTCTACGATTAAACCTGACTTCTTGTACAGTCTAGAAAACGCTTCTTAGATTTAAT